GTTGGCATGACATTCACGGGGTCAATCCACAGAGCGATAGATCCTTGCCTAACTACGATTGATATGTGGTCGTAGCTAAAGTGAATGCACGATCGGTAAAGGCAGCTGCGGCCACTTTCATTCCTATCTTTGTACACATATATAGTTATTAAGCTTTGCTTTTTAAAATCATAAGAAGAGAAGTAAAAGAAGAAAAGAATTAATTCAAGCCTTTAATATATTTTTTTTATATAAAACTAATTGAAGCATTATACAGCAGAGATAAATCATTTGTTATAGTAATTGTTTGCTATAAAAACTTTTAAGTTTTTATTGTTTGTTAAACATGACAACAATAACAATAATCACCGATAAATTAACCAGCTCTTACTGTACTGTTTAACGCAATCTTATATTGAATAGACGGCGTATAAATTTTCGTTTCTGTTTTGTTGACTTTTACGATTTATTATTGCTTCATATACGAAATCAAATCAATATTTGTTTATTGCATTTACACATCTCTAGAATTGTATGCAATCAAGCACAAGTGGCTACAATTGATTAATATTTTAATAAGATAACAAGCGCTTAATATCACTTAAGTAGATCGAATGCCAGATAATGGAATGCACAGCAGAGGTATACACCTTCTACTGAATACTTAAATATCTGCGTGCGTCGTGTCATTGACAGATACAAGCAAAACTTAATCATTGTTTATTGTTCGCACAATTTATGAGTGTACGCCAGTGTCGTAAGCAACAAACCCACAAGATGTTTAAGATGATTTTATTATGGAAAATGTTTTCTTAACATTAATTTTTTAAAATCTTACAGCGCTTGTGGTTGTTGGTATATTAAGTAGTTGCGAACGCATATCACACACAGAGGAGCTTAAGATAGACCCGTCTTTTATTAAGCTTGTCTGTTCGTCTGACGTTTATCCGTGTATTTTTGTGACGTCATTTTTGCGATAATTTGATAAAATTTGGTACACGGACTTGCTTTGAGTTAAGGAAGAACGCTACTCAAAATGGTTCGGATCGGGCTACGGTTTCGAACCCTCCCCATATAACTCCCTATTTTGAGAAGTCCTGAAATGGAAAAATGTGCAATTTTTAAAGTTTTTCAACGAAACTCGCTGAGTAGGGTGCCAGTCTAAGTTAGTATAAAAGCTTTGGTTCGGCTGGAGCCCTCTCATATAAACGTCCGTAAGAAAATCGATTCTTTTATGATGAAAATTTCTTCATGATAGTAATTGGACATAAAAATATGTGGAATAAATTTGAAAAGCGTGGGTCTATTTCTTGGCGCCCACTTTGGATCAGATAGATCTATTTTTCTATTCTATAACGTATGTAGAGGGTTATCATGAAAGTCTAATCCTTACATGGAGAGATTTTCTATTTTTTTAAAACTGAAGTGTAGTAAAATATTTGGAAAGTGATATCTTCCGGAGCCTCCAGAGCGCGAGCTTTCATGGAAAGGTGGTGGGCCTTTGCTGGAAAATTATTTGCAATAATTAGGGTATGATTACCAAGACGCGTGAATATGTGTACTAAGCAAAGTTATGTAGGGTATGTAACGGTCGCCATTGCCCGACTATAATGTTCTTATCTGTATTTTTTTACTGGCATTTTTACTGTCAAGTGAACGTAAAAAAAAAAAGTTAGCGAAAATTCTTTTACCAAAACCATTCTCTTATTTCCTAGGTTTCTCTTTTCTCTAATGTATTGAATATATTTGAAGTGTTAAGGTTTATATGTTTAAGGTGACATTTTAATGGAGAATTTCCTTAGTTAAATCTTAATAAAAAACAATTTTTTAGAAGCAAGTTTTTCACCGTCAAAAGAAAAGTTCAACAAAGTTTTGTTTACGAGGATTGTTTCCAATATGTTGAATAACCTCCACGTTACGTTAAGGTTTATCTTGCTTAGCTAAAGATGATATTTTAATGGAGATATTTCTTAAAAAATTTGAAAAAAAAAAATTTGTTGTTTGTATATTTTCTAAGTATTTCCTATAGTCAAGAGAAGAGCTTGAGAAAAGTTTTATTAACGAGAGTCCTTCTGAATTTGTTGAACAGCTTCCGGCACAAACTTTTTATAAGCACTTGGGCTGAGAGATTACAGAATTTCTTCACTTTTATTTATTTATTTTTAAAAAAAAAAGAAAAGAAGACCATCAGTTATCCATAAAAATTAAGCAAACGAGATGAACAACAATATGTTAAACTAAGTGGTTTGTAATAAAGTGTTGAATTGAGATGAATAGGAAAGTGTTCCGAATATTTAATACTGTAACTATTTCTTGTTGTTAGATAAATATTTCGAAAGATTTTATTTATTTTGAGCGTATTAGTCACCTGACCATATTTATGCTAAATATTTAGATGATCACCCGTTCAGCAAAACTTAGTTTATCGTCGTCTTGAATCCTATTGCCATTCCCTCTGGTTATGATGTTAAAAAATCGTATTGTCTGACCTCCACAGGAGTGAAATCCTTCATTCCCTATTTTTTAAAACCATTCTTAACGTATATATCTATTTTGAATATCGAACAATGAGTGCTGGGAGTGGCCCGTAGTCGTCTCTTCAGCAAAAAAAAAAAGATCTTATTTCTAGAAATGGCCAATTCTCAAGGAGAGACTGCCAAATGCTTATGACATTTTGGTCATTTGTTCGCGAGTTATAGCGTCTCTAACGACGTTACTTTTGCTATTTCCGATCGATGAAAAAATCCGAATATCATGCATTTTTGCGTACATTGGTTCGTGATGACGAAACTCTTCTTACTCGAAAACAAAAATTGCACTGATTTTAAACGAAGCGGTGCGAACACGGGCGACATTCATATTCGAAGTCGAAAGAGATAGATGGCGAACTGAAGACATTTAAAAACATTGTATTCACTATTTTACATGAGAAAGCTTTCTTGCAAGTTGATACCACGCTTGCTCACTATTTTGCTTCCTGGAGCATTCGTTTTAGATCTACAAACAGGTAACAGACGCTAGGAATGACCGACTTGTGACTGGGTGTATTCGTTTGCAGGCAGTTCCGGCAACCGGCGGGTAATGTTTGTTTGCAAGCCGCAAAATCTCTCTCTCCAGAGAAACGTCAATGCATATATGAAGTTTTATGGCAAACAGTTCTATAGAAAAGGCATTGGTGTGTTATATTACTTTCGGACTAATTGTATCACTTTTCGAAGGAACTATGTTGATGAGTAGAGTCAGATTTTGCAAAGATTTTTTTCCCATTTAGTCCCGGTACTTTTTGTCCGCTATTCTAAATACTGTTTATTGAAAGTTAACATTTTCACTCCGTTCATACAAATTCAATCCCGATTTTCATCGTATTAAAGTAATTTCTCTCTTTCATGCGTGGATGTGATTTCCTTACCGGTTTTCGTATTTTTATCGCAATACCACCGAAATATAAGGCTTCTCAGTTTTTAATTATTCACAAGTCCTTGTAGTCATGATACCTAGCTCTGAAAGAACTACCTTTCAGAAAATGATTCTGAATCGATTTAAGTTTGTCTGTCCGTCCGTCTTTTTCCTTTTCTTGCGTTCGACTTATCGGCCGCAATTTCTGAGATATTTTGATGTCTGTCTTAGTCCAAGAATGAACACTATTGAAAACGATTCGGATCGGATCACTTTTTGATCACTTTCCATATAACGCCTTACTTTGAAAAGTCCTTACGTGAATAACTATTGGATTGCGTATTTAATATTAAGCCTTTGCCCACTGCACTATTTTTAGTTATTGCCTAAAGCTTTCGTCTGATTTATCGAATTTTGAAATCAATCGATTTTGGATGAAATTATGCTTATGCTTACTTATTGGTACGTTACTTTTGCACAGAGATATACAACGCTGAGATATACTTAAGATAGAGCTACGTTTCATGGTATCAATCGATTCGAAATTGAGCTTTCTGTCCGTCTTTGTGGTGTTTGCTCGTGTGTTCTTCTGTTAAATATTGAATAAACTCTGGCGCACTGATATGTTCTGGCTCAAGGACGCACACTGGACTGGACTCTTATTTTAAAATAATGTCTCGATATCAAGATAAAAATTGGAAGAAAATGATATTGTGGCATACTAGGCCACCATGGCGTTGCAACGTTGAGAATATAGAGATCCGATATAATTATGTTTATACGAAAATACTTTTCCCTACTTGCACGCTCCCTTTGCATTTGGTAAGCATCTAAAAAAATATAATTTTGTAATATTGTAATAGAACGAGCAACACTTCTTCATTTCAAAGCGATTGCCAGATATAATGTAAACTACGTTTAACTAATAAAACTGTACTTAATAATTATTATCGTCGGGAATATTTACTAATTTAGTTCAACTCCAAATGCAGTCGAAATAAATTAAAAATTTTATATCAAAACTTAATCCTCTTATAGTTTTTCTGCTCGTATCGTACATAACCTCGTTGTATATAGATATCTATAGCACAAAGAATACAACAAACTGAATATTCTTTCATTAGACGATTGTAGTCGGTTTTAATTCTGAAAAACTGGTGCGAATTATTTTTAACAACTCATTCAAACTCGTCCAAGCATACATTGTCATTTATATGCTAACTTTTAAATCGCTTCGTTCAAGCTTAAATGCGTTTTTTGGTTGGTTAATGATACGTGATGGGTAGATGAAATTTATTCATTCCCTACCCACATCATATTCAACTCAATATTCATCTCGTCAATAAATATTTATCATCATTTAATATGAAATTTTTAATGAAAATAAAATGTTTACGAAATGAAGAGTGAAGAAAAAAGAAAAAAAAAATTATAGATTTTTATGAATTGAAATGCGAAACTAACCGAACGAACCGTTGCACTACTAATGCGCTCTCAATAGAAGAAGAAAAGAAAAACGCGGGAAAAAAGACCTTTCGCTATCATTCGCATAGCATTGTCATAATTTTAATCCCCTTACGTAACGTAAGGAGCAGAAAAATAAGAAGACATGTTCTCTCACTTACCTCTTCGTAGATAAAAGTATCGATTTCTTCCAGCGGCTTTCCGTACATGTTTTCTGGGAATGGTTCGAATTTTTTTGGTAGAACGTCGCCATCTTCCACGGTGGCTTTAGTGCGTGGATGAAAACCATATTCACGCACCAGTTGTATATGGCGATTCTCATGTTTAATTTGGGATTTTTGTGTGTAGGCAACAACTTGATGTTTGGCAACTGAAATTTCAATTTCACATACAATAAATAAATATTGATTTTGGTGTAAAGTATAATAAGTAGAATGATTTAAATTAATTTTATAATCTGCCTATTATTAAATTTAATTTAATTTTCGCAAAACATCATTTATTTAGTTAAACTAATCCTTTCGATAAGAATGACCTACGTATGTCCAACGTAATAATTGTCGGTTGTCGATGCCAAACTACTATCATATTGATAAAAGTATAAAATCATGTGATGTTCTATTTGTCACTTTTTTCTAATCTTATGCAAAAAAACTTATCAACGGCATCCAGACCGAAACATTTTGATATACGGAATGATAACATTATACCATTTGTAGTCACGGATTACGCAACAGAAAATTATGGCTATGGAAAGTGATTGCGAAAAGGGAAATGTATTTTTTCGCTTTAATCCAAGAATCATCGTTTCTGATAAAGTTCATCTCCTACTTAATCAAGGCGTTCAGGAAAGTTAAAGTTTTCGCATTTGGAGAAAGGAAATTCCTTTTGCTATTCGTAAGAAACCACTTTATCCTCCAAAAAGCAACCGTTTGATGAGCGTTGTTTGGTAGGAGTGTAGGACAAAACTCATTGCCATCCAAGTTTGGTGAACGAACAGTTTCAGGAAATACAAAACTCATTTACCTAAAGAGGCTAAAGTGAAGCTATTTGAAATCACTGCACGTTTATCTCGGGGTATGTCCCGTACACGTGTTGCCTGAGGACGGCCATAAAGAGGTGAGGGAAGAGGAAAAGGTACGGTGGGTGGCCAGTGTTGTAAATTTACCGACGGAACACTCGATATGGCTACGACCAAGTCACATCTCACTGAGATTTGATCGACCATGTAAGCGCGATTCTTACCTAATCCTAATATCAAGCGGCAGTCATTTGGCTTTATTATAAAAGTAAAATATTCGTCGGGAAGTTGAAGACAAGTCGTAGAATTGCAATTATCCGAATATTTGAGCGTCCGAGTGCAGACTTGTAAAAAGTAAGCAAACGAATGACATCGTTTTTCATATGAAAAGGGGATGAGACCTGATTTTGAGGACTTTGAATTGATTTGCTGTGTCTTCCGGCAGTTGTCGTAAACCGCGAATCAAGCTAAAACTCTTCCGTGTGAATGTGCTATCTTTTAGGTTTTCGCAGTACTGTAGGTTATATATTGCCCTCTGCGCACACATGCTGTGTGCTGTTCCTGAGTGCTTTGACTAAGTCGAATTTTGTAACAGAAGACCGCCATTTCCAAGAAACTGTGATTCTTTTCGTTAATTTGAAGGTCAGTTTTGCTCAATAAACAATAGCGGCCTTACGATATCCAAAGGATCTTGGTACAGAATAAGCGACATAACCATTTACATCGGCGATAAAGTTGAATTTCCATGTCGGCTGCATTTATTGCGGTTAACTGGCCTGAAAGTATCAAACGATCGATTGTATTTGCTGAACGGAATTCATATTTTGCCTAAGCGGTAGTAGAAGTAATGCTGTGAGAGCAACAATAAATTGAATTAAATATCGCGTGAAATTTTTGTCATTTTACCGAAAAATCCCTTGAAATTTATTCACATTCCTAATATGTAAAAGTTTTCCACCCTGCAATGCAATAAGTTTTTCATTTAACCATAAGATAAAAACGTTACAGTCGTGTAAGGTCAACCATTAAACGGCTTACTACTTTTCGTCTACCGCAATTCTTCGTTTAGTTTATATATTTGTTTTCCATTCGAAGACGTAATCCATTTTACCTATAGAGCAACAAGATCCTAAACGTGAGCTGACGTCATGCACATATGAGACATTTACGTTTCTTCTCAAGAATCTCATTGTTCTTTGCCTATTTTTGTCATAAATCATTACAAGTTAGACGTTGTTGCCAAATAAAGATCAGACTTTCAGGCAGCGGGTGTAAAGATGGTCCGATCTAATTCATTTTCAAAATAATTAATCCTGTACCCAACTCACGTTAGTATAACAAATTTCGTCAAAATATCGTAAAATTTGCGCAGATTAAACACAAAAATACATGGACAGACGGACAGTTGGAGGAAAGGGTAGGCAAATTTCAATGATTTTAGCCATCGATCGATATAAGAAAAGTTGGGCCAACCTCAAGGTCTTCTGGATCTTTCATACGTCTGCACATACTTAATATGCACTCAATGCAAGAAGCGGTGTAGTGTACATGTAATAGGATAACAACATGCTACATTTTAAGCATTTTAGCAAAATATTGAGAAAAATTGAAAAAAAAAATTATTATCTTATGTCGTTGTTTCATTGTATCTTTCCAGCGGAAACGATTAGCAAAAAAACACCTCACACAAAATGGTCCATGAAGACTCTGCTCACTTACAGATACAGCACTATTCGGCTTGGACGCAAATGAAGCAAGCAATATCAGGAGCGGCCTCGGGGTTTATAACGCGAACGTTCACTCAACCCCTGGATGTACTTAAGATACGCTTTCAGTTACAAGTGGAACCAGTCGCTACAAGTGGCGTCAGTCAAAGCAAATATACCTCAATTGCGCAGGCTTGCCGACTCATTTATCGCGAAGAGGGCCTATTGGCTTTTTGGAAGGGCCACAATGCCGGGCAGATCTTGACCATGACATATGCAATCATGCAATTTTGGTCGTACGAACAAATCGACTTAAGGTTAAGACAATATCCATACATGAGTACACGTACGAATTTTACACATTTTGTAGCGGGCGGTTCGGCCGGTTGCTTGGGTGCCATTGCCTCTATGCCATTTGATGTGATTCGGACACGTGTAGTGGGGCAAGATCATAATCAGAGGCACAGTAGCATGTTTCGTTTATTGCCAATTATCGCCAAAGAAGAAGGTGTGCAGGGTTTATTCCGCGGTTTGGGTACAACTCTCCTTCAAATAGGTCCGCTAATAGGTTTCAATTTCATGTTTTATCATTACATTATTGATCTCGTAACAAAAATGTCGGGCCACGATCATCAGAAATTGTCCATTGCGACCAGTCTGTTAACTGGGGCTGCATCGGGTGTATTATCTAAAGTTATTCTATATCCTTTAGATTTCATTAAGAAGCGTTTGCAATTGCAAGGCTTTCTTAATGCTCGCCGCTCTTTCGGTCACAATCAAACTTGCCATGGTATTATTGACTGCATGAAAAAGACTCTTCAAGAAGAAAAAATAAGCGGCTTTTACAAAGGCATGTATCCGACACTTATGAAATCGGGTCTGACTACCGCGTTCTACTTTAGCATATATGACGCCTTCAAAGAGCTTCTAAAAGTCGATGAAGATAAGACACTAGCAGACTAAAAGAGACTTGGAATATACATCAATACGCACGCACAGACCGACAGGAACGACTGGTCATGTTTGTTGCAATGAAATTCCTTAACTTAAGCTATAATATTTTTCTTCTTACAAAGTTTTTCTTTGTTTTTTTTTCAAATATTTTTTTATTACATTTATTTTTATAACGCGCTTCAGAGTAAAGATATTTAACAGGTAATGAATTAAAGAATTTTATAACGCGCATTATATTGAAGATTATTACAGGTAAAGAATTATTATGAACACTTATTTGCATATACACACACGTACTTAAAAAATGATAATAATAATAATAATAATAATAATAATAAAAGAACAAAAGCTATATACAATAAAAATCGATGAACAAAGTATATAAATTGTTTTCTTTTTTTTTTTTTCTTTAACAAAAAATTATTGCGAAAATTTATTCTGACTAACATACAGAATACGAGAATAAGAAGCAAATCTCTTTCTCTCGCTTGTTATTTGCAATTTATGGATAAAGAAATTAAGTGAAAATGTCGATACACATATATACTCGTTATATGGCGGTCTCAATCAAAATGGAGCTTGTCATGGCACTCATAAATTCCCCTTCTCCATGACAACAAGGCCACTCGTCCTCATTCACTCGTCACATAAGCGAATTGACGAGTACGAGATATTTGTAGTGTGCTCTTTTTACTGATACTGATAAGCAGGAAATTGTGAGTTGGTTGATTGGTTGCGTTGATCGCTTCATAGAGCACTCACGCTTTACGACTATGTAAGCCTTTCACTTACCCATTCTTAACAACTGTTATATGCCGTATGAAAGGATATGAGTTGCTTTGAACATAAACATGCTTCGTAAAATTCAATTGTTCACGCAAATGAATGGCTCGAGAATGAATGGAAGGAAAAATGAGAAGAAAAGGAGAATGTAATGTGTGTAATAGCACGAATAGGAACGAAAGTGCAATTCTGTGTCCATTTAATTAATCTAAGGATAAGCTTAGCGCTTAGCTGCACGTCTCTTCAATCAAAACAATAGCATGACTTGTTAAAATATCTTCCCAACAATTTCTTCTGGCGGATTGTTGCTTGCATATACCGGTTTGTGTGTGGAAATATCGTCTTGTGTTCATTAGAAATAGGGGCAAGTTTTCTCCAAGTTTGAAAAAAAAAAGAAGTAAAATATAGTCATATATAGCTTTATATATATTCCAGAAAGGGCATAAGCAATTTTTTTTTTCTTTTAGTGTTTTTCAGAACTGAATAGAAACGTAAAGGCGCTAGCTTTTAGTTGACTTTTTAACCGTTTCAAATCGAGTTGGCAACGAGTAAACTTTTAAGAGAATTAATAAGAGTAAAATCCTTATATAGTCGGGCTAGAAGGTGGTTAAATATTTTAGACCACTTTGCTTAACTTAATTTGGTAATAAAATATCAGAAATGTGTTTTTCCCGCGTCAAGAGTTGCTTTTCATGTCAACCGGTATGGTTTAAGGCTACCACACCTAATTTTCTTGTTAAAGTCTTATTAGCCTTTCACTTAGGGTTATGGTAAACTACCAAAAAACTAAAAAGGGACACCTAAAATAGAGATATGTAACCTTCAAATTTTTTAAAGTTCATTTTTTTATCATACATAGACTAATTTGTAGCGTGCAATACTAGAAATTGGTTACATTTACCATACAAAGGTTTGCATCCCGTCATGGGATGGAGTTCAAGTTACGAATTCGATATAATTGATTTTTATATCAAATTACTGTTACGGACCAATTTTCATCATAAAACGCTAAAACTGAGAATTGGGAGATTTGTTGTTTAAGTACAAAGATGGGCCTCCCTATCCTTCCAACATTTGTCGAGAAATTTTTGCAAATTGAAAATATTTCTTCATATGATAACTTTTTTACTATACGGCTTTATATAGGGTACGGTCCAATTCAGTCCATTTTCAAGAGGAATTGTCGCTGGGTCAAAACTGGTTAAGGTAGTACATTTCATTAAGATAGGTCGCTACTGAAAAAGGACGGACAGACAGACAGACAGGCGCAAAATGGTTCCCAAAATGATTTCAAACCGATCGGGACGACAAAAGGTGAAGCTATCTTCAGGAATTTTGAGTGTTACGTGCATTCGCACCAGCCGCGCTATCGTGTAGGGTATAAAAATAATAGAAACTAAGGAAGAAATTGTATTCTAGCTGACAGCCATTCACTAGGACTAAAAGACGGAAAGTGAAAAGAATGGATAAAATCAGTTCGTTTGACAGATAGAGGCCAAGACGAACCATCACTTGACTGCGGATGTATGCTTAAAAAAAGTGTGGTCTTAAAAAAATAAAAGTATTCACTGAAAAAAGAATATTACTGCGGGCATAAGTCTTTGCTAAAGTGAGAGTATGTTTGGCATCAGATGCCCCAGGGCGCAATTGTTAGTTGTTCCCATCACTTAGAGCAAGTTCGTTATTCTTTACGGCAAAAGGCTTCGCTAAGGCCCAAAATATTCGCCGATAACTGCCGATCGGCTCTGTTCAAGGCAGAATTTAATTTTAGCAAGACAAAAACATTTTTGCAGCAAGCATCTGCGGCGCTGTGGTACGAAAGCCAGATTGAAAAATTCACTCAGTTTAACTGAAACTATTTAACAATTTATTATCTAACCAGCTGCAAAATAACTTTCAAGAAAATCTGTTTTGTAAACACTTCAGCTCCAAGTGACAGAAATACAAACATTTGGATATACACACACATATATCTATATATATATATATATATGTAGATATATATAGATTTTCTATCATTTGAGCAAACAAAAACAATAGCGTCATAGTAATTTAGTTTTCGCGTCTGTTGTTGTTGCAGTGGCATCCTTTTAATCATTTTACACTCGTTTCCTGCTTTGGAATAAGTTTTTAGCACAAACGTCTTAAGTGCATCGCTGGCGTTTAGTATCCACGGAATCTGTGTCGGACTTCATTGTGTATGACGCTATTGAAGCTATAAAAAAGTTCGCTTTTCTTTAATCTTTTTTTTTTTTTTCATTCTTTGTAAGCTTTTCTGGCAGTTTGTGTTTTTTATACTCGACAACTTCAACTTGATTCCTTTAACTTTTACTACTATCGCGCTCATCGTTACCATGGCTGAATGTAATGTTTTTTTATGCGCCACTAGTTACAATTAATGGCATGAGAAAGTTAAGTCACAAAATCTCATCCAAAGCATAAGCTTATGCTACAAACCAATACGTTAACAATAACAACACAACAACAAATATCATGAAATTGTATTGTGAACGCGGTCATGTTTTAAAAAAAAAAAATTGTATACGTACTCTCACTTTGCTCTTTCCCTCGTTCACTCGCTGAACTTTAACATATTCAGTCGTCAATTTTATGGGTTTCGCCGGGGGCTGGTAAGCAGTTAAAAGCTTTAAAAACCGTAATTATGTAAGCATCGCTGTAACACCATGCAGCATAAATTATTACATAAGCCTTCTCTGTTTGATAGCGCCCTCCTAAGGCAATCTCTTTTTCTTTGTTTTTTTTTCTTTTAACAGTTCTTTAAAACTTGTTGAGGTCTTCTTTGACTCATTCCGCTGAATTTTTTCCACTTGCCGAGAGTTTTTAGGTAAAATGAAAATTTCATATTTTTCCGGATATGAGTGCGTCTGTATATGCGTTTTGTTTCTATTGTTGTTGTTGTCGTTCTTGTTATTGTTTTCGTTACTGCTGCAGTGTGTGTGTGTGTGTGTGTGTGTGTGTACATTTTGGGCAATATGTCAAATTCTCCAGTAAAAGTAATTTATCAAAATGTCAATCGTTCAAGTTTGTGTATTTGTTTGTCTGCGTGTGTATGTGTGTGTGTCTTTGACTTTAAATATTTGATAGCATGTAGCTCAAAATGGATTTTGTGGTTATTTCTGCTATTAAGAGACAAAAAGTTAAATGCCACTCAAGCACTAATAGCTATCCCTTAAATTAGTGAAGTATACAAATGTCCAAACAACAACACCAAACTAACATGACAGGAAAGGGAATAAAATCAAAGTTAAATAACGAATACTTAGGCCTGATATTAATCTTCCAAATCTTTCAGCTTTCAACTAAATTAAAAAGATACTTTCCTCGTTTTAATTAACAATAAAGGTGTTAGTTACACACGTTCATATACATACATACATAAAGAAGAGATTATTTTCATAAATATTTACATTAAAAGAGTAATCATTAAATTTACATAAATTACGAAACAAGTCAGTTGGAAATGATGGAAAATGAAATCTAGAGAAGTTGTGGTTCGTGTGAGCGCTTGACATCGTGTGATTGATGTGCTGTGGTTTTGTGTCGTATGGTGTAGTGTGGAAATGGACTAGACTTATATTTAAGTTTTGGTTTCAATTTCTGCCGGTCATATATTTACCAGGATGACCAGCCACCTCCGCCGCCACCGCCGCCTGAATAATGATAGCCACCGCCCCCGCCGCCGCCGCTACCATGCGAATCGCCACCGGAAGTGGCTGCGGCAATGGCAGCTAATTTGGCACTGTGCCCACTACCGGAGCTGGAACTATAGCCGCCGCCGTAACCACCACTACCCCCGCCGTAACTACCGCCACCGCTGCCATGTGAAGAAGCAGCAGCGATTGCAGCGATTTTTGCATCATCGTGATGACCGCCACTGCTATAGCCTCCACCTCCACCACCACTGTAGCCGCCGTAGCCGCCACCACCGCCATGCGACGAAGACGCCGCAATCGCTGCAATTTTCGCGCTGTCATCGTGACCGGAGCTATAAACGCCACTACCGTATCCACCGCTATAACCGCCGCTGCTGTGTCCGCCACTATAACCGCCAGATCCTCCGTGCGATGAGGAAGCAGCGACTGCAGCGATTTTTGCATCGTCGTGATGACCGCCACTGCTGTAACCACCGCCTCCACCACCACTGTAGCCACCGTAACCGCCACCACCGCCGTGAGTGCCAGCAGCAGCAGCTAAAGCAGCAATGTGAGCTGAAGAATGGCCTCCACCTCCACTACCACCACCACCACCACCACTACCGCCATAATCGTAACCGCCATGTCCGCCTGCACTTTCTTGGATGATGGCGTATGTTTTAACTTGAGCTCCACCTCCCGAACTTCCGCTATAACCTCCGGAGCTTCCATGACCACCTCCAGAAACAATAAAACTACTGTGGCCTCCATGACTACTGCCACCAAATCCCGAACCCCCACCACCACTTGAGCCGTGCCCACCGTCAGCAATGACGATAGTTCCA